GGTCCCTTTTGCCAGGCCTCTTGTGGCAGGGGGGCTGTGGCACAGAGAGGAGGAGGGAAGGGAGCTGCAAACCTTCCGCACGCTCTCCATCCGCAGGTTTGGCCGTAACCCCTTTCTCTCTGCATCGCTGGGGTTGTTGCTGCTTTGCGGTCCTGCGCTGCAGAGCCGGGGCTGGTTGGGTCAGGATGAGATGACATTTTACTTCAGCAGGTTCTGACCCGTTTCGGCACTTAAAGCAAAGTCATCTCCTCCTTCCTCACCTGGTTCCAGCAGAGCAGCTGCACGCCATGAGCCTCCTGAGCTCTGTGGCGTGGGTAGCCGCGTGTCCCTTCCCCAGCAGCTCCTCCAGGCTCTGCAGTCTCTGGCTTTACTCGGTGTTCTTATCCCCTGGGGTTTCACACCTCCTCACTTTGACTTCAGTTTGTTTTTTTTTTCTTCAATGTTGCTTTTAGAAGCTTGCTACAAGGATGCTTTTAAAAAAAAATCATTAGGTTGGAAAAAAGGATCTTCATTCAGCCCTTGTGCAGGGCAGAGGTGGGGAAGGGGCTGGCACAGATGCGCTGTGTGACCACAGAATTATCCTTCAAAGTGAGCAGATGGCTTGGTCTCAAAAAAAAACCCTCAGAGAAATTCACGGAGGCCTTTGAGGTTTCAGTTTGCTTTGTGTTTTCTCCAGGGGCTGTGCAGGAAGGAGGGAGGGGGCTGCTGTGGGCTGAGGGGCCGGACAGCTGACAGCAGGTCCGGCCACTGACAGCACACGCTTCTCGGTCCCCTCCAGCAAAAGCCATCGTATCTTAGCAAAAGTCATCTCATAGCAAAAATGTCAGGCAGGAGCTTGCGCTGTCCCCCCAGCCCGGCGTGCGTCGCTCCCGTGGGGGGTCTCTGGGTGCTGACGCGGGGTAGCAGCGCTCGCGCAGGAGGAAGAGGATGGAGCACCTTCATGACCACGCAGGTTATGGAAGTGCCCGAGGACCGGCCGCGGGGCATTCGCGTGGCAGCCCTGCCACCCCAGAGACGGGGCCTGTGCTGGGTCAGTCGGGGGGAGCTGGGGGTCTGGCCCAAGGGTGAGAGGTGGCTCTCCTGGCACTGCAGAGATGCCGGGACGGGATGGCAGCTGGTGTGCCGGGAGGATGCAGCGGGGGGGCTGGCGTTGCTGCGGCTGTGGGGACGCCAAGCACATCTGTCCTCCTCTCTCCGTCCCTGGCTTCCAGCACATCACCCTGCCTGTGTGTACCTCTTTTCCTTGTCCCACCCGTGGGTGGAAGCGTCAGAGCACCAAGAAAGCCCAGCTTTCACCCGCCGGCGGATGGTGTGAGCTGTTAGCTGGTGATTTATCTGAGGGGAGCCTCTGACCTTTCCTGTGCTCCTCTGCGATGGTGGATCACGCACAAATAATTCACGGCTCCCAAAAACGCTCTGGCTTCAACCTTGCAGTGGTGTGATAAGCAGAGCGGGTGAGCACACTCAACCTCGTGGGACCGTTCGGTCCCCGCGTTCCTCGGGGAATTCAGCTGTGCACGGGGAGATGCCAAGAGCAAGTGGCTGTCACACCATTTCCATTCCTGATGGCTCCAGGGTCAACCTGCTTTTTGAGTTACCCGCGAGCTCCTGTTGTTCTCTGCTTTGTAGGCATCCAGCTCAACTCTGTTAGAAAACCTGTGCTTCTGATGAATGCGGCTCTAAGTCAGAGGGATGATTCGCAATAAAGTTCGAGCTCTACCTGCAAACGTGTTGTCTCGGGCTCTGAAGCGCAAGCTTGAAGGAATGGGCAAGAGCACAACACGCCCGTGTTAATATAGCAGAAAGAACAAGCTGTTATGTACAGAGCTAAAAATAGTTGTAAAGCTTTGAGTCTTCCTCCCAGTTGCAGCAGAAGGATGCTCTGAGCACTGATGGCCGGATCTGTCTGTGGCACGGCTCTGTCTTGACAACGCACTAAAGCTTTTGTGACTTTTTGAAGCTCGGTTCAGATATACACAGAGCACCGTGGCTGCTTTTCTGCAGCTGCCATGATTTCTGACTTGGATGAGAGTGGCTTGGGGCAAATCCAAAAGCTGGTGTTCCCAAAAGGGACGGTACCTTTTTCAGTAGAATTTTAACAGGCAAACTTCAGAAGGGGAGAAATGCACAAAATAGCTGAGATTGGCCCAGCAGCTGACAAAGCATCTCTCTGTAAGCTGTGTCTCGAAAGCAGGATTCATCTGGGAAATAATGGCGTGGTGTACCTAAGGACAAGTACAGCCGTGGGCCTGCTGGCAGCGAGCCGTGCTCGGGGCAGGTAGGGTGTGGGCTCCATCTTGGGCATCCCATGGGCAAACGCCCACTGAGGGCCTGGCTTCCTGAGTGCAGGGTGCTGGAGGGAGCCCAGGCACCTCTGCGCTCGCCACAGAGTCCATGGGCATCTTTACTCAGCCTCCTCTTCCCAGTCTCCCTCGACCGCGGTGTTCTCCCTTGACGGGCGCTGATGGAGATATCTGCCCAGCTGAGGCCGGCGGCCACCAGGGATGACAGTGATCCCTTACGAGACAGTTTCTTCCGCCAGCATACGAGTTTTTATTCATTCTTTTGTTTTTACGACAGCAGCCAAGGGAGGTGCTTTGTCACCGCCTGAGACCAAAGAGCACAAAGGGAGCGCGGCTGAACAGTTTGAGCTATGATGAAATGCTCGCTGTTATCGATCTTGGCTCAGGATTTGTTTCCTTTCGTGCATTAACTCCCCATCGATCGCTGTGGTGACCTCAGAGCGTACGGTTTGGTTGGCCTTCTCCCTCAGCCGGCAGCAGAGCCGTGCCCGCAGCCCGCTCCCCTCCCAGCCTCACCGAACCGCCGATGGGCCGGGTGGTACGAGGTGCTCTGGGGAAGGCAGAGCTTTGCTTTGGCCTCCTCGGACATCAGAGGTTTGCTGCTGTATGTTAGTTGCTGGGGTTAGCGTCGAGGTTAGTGCGGTGTGGCATTAAATGATTGCTCGAGGGTCAGGTCGTTGCTGTAGTGCGGTACCCAATGAACTGGGTCCACGAGCAGGGAGTCCTGGCAGGAGTTAAAGAAGGGGCTGGAGTTTGCCCCGGAGCTGCTCCCTTTCCCCGTGGTGGGGATCCCCACAACGCTGTGTCGTTGCCTGGTGCACACGCCTGACCAGGGTCAGCTCCCGCTCGTCGGAGCAGCTGGCTGGGGTGATGGTGCTTGTGGAAAGCCACTTCCCATCGCCACGCTGGGTTCTCCAGTGCCCAGGGACCTGCTGAGATGACACAGGGTGAAACTCTTCCCGTCTTTGCAAGTGGCAATGTCAAGTTGACGGCTGCCGCTCTGGGCGTACAACGTGAAAGTCCGCTTCATCCTTGCTCCCTTGTATCTCCAACTGTCAATGAAATCGTTCAATGCCACTTTTGGGGAAAAAGTACCTTCCTTGGGGTCATGGCGGGGGCTTTGGCTGCCTTCACCTATGTGAACCTGTGCCCAAAGCCCTCCCGAGCTGGGGTGAGCATGGGGACGGTGATGGTGCTGGTTGTGGTGTCCCGGCTCTCTGAGCCTGAGGTGCTGTGGTGTCCGGCCACTGATGCTGTACTGGGCTCCTTGGCTTTATTTGGTTTTGCAAATTATTGTACTTTATTTAATTATTTATGAGCTTGGATGCTCTAAGTGGGAAGAGGATTGGGGACTCTCCAAGTTTCCTTTCCCCTGTGCTGTTGGATGCCTTTGGTGCTCGTGATCTGCTTTTTAGTCCACCCAGAGACAATTTTCTGTAAAACATTGACATCTAGTGGCTCTTCTGCCAAAGGAAACGAGGGGGAGCAGAAGACTGGCAGAGAAGTGGCTGGTGGTGATGCCACTCGGGAAAGCAAATGAAGGTCCTTTCTTCTCCTCACACAGCACCAAGGACACGGCGATCACACCCCGGGGCTTGGGGCTCCTGGGTCCCTGCTCCTCGGTGTCCTCGGCCTGGAGGAGTGGCTTTCCCTTGCAGGACAACTTGCTTAGTGAGCTGCTTTAATCCCATTTACTTAAGCAGATTGCCAATATCCTGGCAGCGTACCTCATCGCTGAGGTCGTGGTCACATTAAAGGAGGTGCGAGGAGCACGGTGTGTGTGGCTTCAAGCTGCTGATGGTGGAAAACATAGTGTTTGACGGTGGATATTAATGTGTGGCCCAGAGTGATCTCTTCGTGGTATACGTAAGGTTGAGCTCACAGCTTTCCCAGCTGGCAGCCTGATGGGGTTCCCTGCGTCAGCACGTCCCTGACGTGGGCCACCCTCCTGTTGCTCCAAACCAAAGCCAGCACCTCCCGTGGAGGTGTTTTCCCTTACAGAATGTTATGATGCATCCTGTAATTTCCTGTCGTTGACTTGTCTCTCCTCTCTCATCGTCGGAGTCCTGTATCAGGTGAAGACAGGGGGATAAAATAGGGTTTGCGTGGGCTTCTCCCAGATCCTCACTGCAGTGCAAGTGGACTGGGGCTTCTGGGCACGTCCCATCTATCTGGCCTGCAAAAGGCAATGTCTTGCAGGAGGTGTCTTGCAGGAGATGTCTGTGTTCCTCATGGATGCAGCGCTGCTCTGGGGCTCATGCAGCTGAGCCCCGCGGCTGCTCACCGGGAAAGGTAGCTCAGGCAGCTTTTCATAGGCCACATAAACTTGTCAGTCCAAATCTGTTGGACAAGGGCGGGTGGTGGGGTGGAAAAACACAGAGCTACCTGTGCCCTGCTCGGGCTGGGGCAGCCACCGTGGGAGATATTTTGATTATTCTCCCGAGGTCTGGGGAGAGCATCAGTCGAGGCACCCAGCAGGAGCACGGAGCTGCAGGGGCAACCACACAGAGGCCCCCCCCCGCCTCTATGGAGGCAAAACCCGGGCAGGCAGGTGCAACCCTTCCCGCTGCCCCAGGGAGACTGCTCAGCCGTCCTTCGCCCCGAGGAGGGGAGCGCAGAGGAGCTCTCTGCAGCAGCGCTCCTGAAAGCCTCTGAAGTGCATCTCCAAGTTTCTATTGATTTTGAACGTTAACGCGCTGTGTGCTGGAGACGCACGGGACTAAACGCTCTGCCTTCCTCTCCCTTGGCAGGAATTTCTACTACATCACCATCCTGCGTGACCCCGTCTCCCGATACCTGAGCGAATGGCGACACGTCCAGCGAGGAGCGACGTGGAAGGCCTCCCTGCACGTCTGCGACGGCCGGTCCCCGACCACCGAGGAGCTGCCCAGCTGCTACACAGGGGACGACTGGTCGGGCTGTTCCCTGCAGGAGTTCATGGATTGCCCCTACAACCTCGCCAACAACCGCCAGGTCCGCATGCTCTCCGACCTCAGCCTGGTGGGATGCTACAACCTGTCGGTCATGCCCGAGGAGCAGCGAAATAAGGTTCTGCTAGACAGTGCCAAGGAGAACCTGAAGCGGATGGCCTTCTTCGGCCTGACCGAATTTCAGCGGAAGACTCAGTATCTCTTTGAGAAGACTTTCAACATGAACTTCATCTCGCCGTTCACGCAGTACAACAGCACACGGGCCTCCAGCGTGGAGATAGACGAGCAGACTCAGCAGCGCATCGAGGCCCTCAATTTTTTAGACATGGAATTGTACGATTATGCAAAAGACCTGTTTTTGCAGCGGTACCAGTACATGCGGCAGAAGGAGCACCAGGAAGCGCGGCGGAAACGCCAGGAGCAGCGCAAGATCCTGCGGGCGAAGCAAGCGCGCCGGAGAGCGCAGGGCGACAACAGCTCCAGCACCGACTACGTGGGGAACGTGGAGGGGTGGCGGCGGTAGTGGGGGGGCTCGCCGGGCGCTGAGAGCGACGTGGAGCCCGACCCGAGCCCCAGGTCGGAGGCGACGGAGCGGTCCACGCAAACGATGCTTCTGGAGGGTCTGAAGCAAAAAGAGGTTAAAATGTTGCCTTTGCAGTTGCCTTTGCAGTAAATGTTGTACTGTACGTGGAACACTTCATCTTTGCGTGTAATTAAATTGTCCTTTTTAGGTTTGTTGGATTATTTATGAAATACAGGAGCCGAGAAGGCTCGTCGGAAATGGTTGCTTGGACGTTTATTTAAAAGAAAAGGGGAAAAAAAAATTCCTTAAATGAGTTATGAGTACAAAATGGGATGCTGGAAAATGTTTATGATGCTCGGCTGAAATCTATCTGGGAAGTAAACTCATTTCCTAATAATGAGCATTTAGCATACTCTCACAATACAGTACATGAGCAAAACCTTTTCCCTTTGATTTTTGTCTTAATTTTATTTTAATAATGTGTTTTCCAGGGCACCGACTGCTTATGATATTTACCAAGTTAATGAATGGACGATGAAGGGAACAATAAAGGTCTAGAAAAAATATTGACTAGTTTTATGTATAATATTGGCTTTTAAAAGGAATAGAAGTAATTTCTCTAGTTATATAAATATTTAAAATTTTAAACTTTTTCTACCTACTGCTGTTTAGAGTTTTAAGCTTAGTCTATCTCATATTTAAAAAAAAAAAAAAAAAAAGGCATACATACTTTTCTGAACTCAATGCCAAGGTTAGAGACACTGTTTCCAGAATTCTTCAGGGCAGTATGATTTTAACCATTCTGGAAAACCTGCAGCACATCTTCATGTTTCATAAAGCCTTTTGCAAATTATAATCTTGTGACAGTGTCTAATTTTAAGTCTTCTTACCCATTAGAATACATAATGCTGAATTTATAATTCCTTAATAATTGGTGGTATAAACTAGATGAAATTATGTTGCGAATATTTGTGTAGTGTCTTTAAAAAGTCATAAAACTCTCTAATCCCAGCAATATTATGCAGATAATTGCTCAATGGAAGAAGTAGATTTTACACTTGAATTAGGATTTACTTCCAGTAAATCTTCGCTACACCAGATAAGAACAGGGCTTTT